CAGCTTGATGTGGTCTCTCAGCGAGAGTCTATCTGAGGTGTCGCTCGGGTTGTTGCCTTAACTAGATAACATTCCCATATTCTTTAATAGCGGCTAGTTTGTCACAACACGTGCCGCAAGACACGGCGCTTCCAATGAAGCAAGTCATTACTCGAGTATCTTGGACGCATCCCTCGACGCGAAGAGCCATGCAGTCACTCGAATTACTTGAACCTCTCCTGCAAGTAGAACGAAACATTCTTGGAGCTTCCCCCTACATGCAGGAACGCATCTCATCCGTGGCGACGCGCTGAGCCACCGAGCCGTACTCGGCCGCGCCGCCGCGTCGAGGCACGGGTCCCCCGCCAAGCAGCGACGCCGAAGCGTCGACCGATAGAGCGCCACGCCCAGCAGTATGTGCGTCGACCGCTCTCTCGAGCGGCCGCGTGGCAGTGCGTGGCGCGGGCGCCACGGGTGGCAAGCGTGGAGCCGCTGGAAGAGCCGGTGCGAGCCGTGAACGGCAGCCGCTCCCCACGTCGCCGAGAGAGGCTGCGGGAGTGGGGAGAGGGCTCAGGAGGCCACCGGAGGCGCCGGGAGGCTCGGGAGGCGCTAAAAAGTGGCCCGGGCGCCTCGCGCCACCCGTCTGGTGGGGCCGGGTGGGCTCAGGAATTAATCCAGGATTTTAAGGTGATCCACTACACCTGACCGAGAATTGGATGGCCCGGCGCGCGCATGGTTCCGTAGCCCGTCTAGTGCCTCACTGACCGACTCCAGCGCCACGGTGTATGTGGCCGGTGTGGTACTGGGGCTGGGCAGCCTTGGGGCCGGCGGGAACCGCCGTCTAGCGGTCGCACTAGTCTCTTTTCGTTGTGCAACCTGTTTGTTCAACGGTTGTTCAACCATACTTTGAGCCTTAATTATTAATTCGGGTTTGGGTCTCTGAGGTCGATACTAGCGTCCATAACTTGCCACAAGCATGCTTTACAAAAGTCCAGCGGAGGGAGACTCTCAGATCGGCTGTCCGCGCGCGCTGTGAACAGCGCCGTGGTTGAACACTGTTCAACGTCGTTGAACACGTAGCGAAAGAGAGACCGTTTTGAGCTTAGCCTTCGATGTTAGGAAACAAAGCAAGGCGGACATGGCAT